AATCTCTTTATCGATAAACTTCTCCAAACATCTAATTCTGTTAAACAGTTCAAAGGTGACCTCATAAACCCTGTAGCTAACAACCTTCGGAAATGCCATTACTCAATATTGTCAAGTAGAATATACAAACGAATAACGAGGAATACGTTTGTTAGCGAGTCAATACGTAGTACAAAATCCATGGCGTTGGGGAATTCTTTTTCTTCACCACCGAACTCCATGAAATCCCCAAAAGTCGCTATTTCCTGAAAAAGAAAATAAGGATTCAACACGTGTATATATTGTTACCACCATAAATAAGAAATCTGATGTCTTAAAGTCCTAAGAAATGCTGAATGCATCGAATGATGTATAGTTACGTCAGTCAATATTTTTCAAGCATAGAAAACGTACATTGCATCTGCCCGTATACCTTAGGTCTACGCCGTAAAAAAGGTTAATACTACATGAATATAATCCCTGGATATTTCTGTAGACTTCCCTTAAAGAGGTGCACGTGGAGTATCTTTAGGGCTGTCAGCAAAGGCAGACAGCAAAGGGAGTGAAAATCCTTCACAAAATCGACTAGCCTACCTTACAGCTTCCATATTCAAACCATTGAACTTCAAAAACATCACTAGAAGCCATTATAATGTGTTACTCTAAGTCACTTTGCACCTCATAAACGAAATAGTGGATATTTCAACCATTTGTAAAATTACCTTAAGTTACGGTCATCAAAATACTCCATCTTTTTCTATTTATGTTAATATCACTGCATTCTGTCGGATTTTAGCAGACATATCAGCATAAAGGTGTGTAATACAACAACTGCTTATCGAAGTTTTAGGTATCTGCAGGAGATGTAGTGCGTAGGCACCGGTTGATCAAATGATCTGCTGTCATTAAAGTCTGTCTGTAGCTTAGTTTTGGACTGCTATTGTTTGGGGTTACCCATATTAGGCCTTCTCTTAGCAAACTGGTAGTGCGATCATAATAGAGGTGATACCCACAGTGTTGTTTAGCCATCTGCCAAAGGCCTAATTGATTGTTTCAGCTGATTCAAAACTGGTGAGATATTAGCCACTTAGACCGCCTGGAGACATACCTATCGGTTGGCAGTGTTTCCCTACTACATGAATCGGTACTGGCCTTTGCGTTATGCTGGGATTTTTCTGGCAGGATTTGCCCGAGATTACCTAGTGTTTCCATTAAACCTAGTTTTACTTCGGTTCCGAAGCCCATATACGCCTCACAGTTAGCCAGACTGTTGCAGAGTCTCTAATACTTGCTTACAGAATACGCTCTGTTCCCCTCTTCAGCCATGGGAGTAGCCTCTTGGGTTGTAGTGTGGCTAGAGGGACGGCAGGTTGAATGGCTGAACTTGGAATCAGATTTCAGGAAAACTGTTAGTTCCGCTGCCTATATGACTTAGAGCTCGCTTTCAGTTGGTCTCGCGACTGTTGTGCGGCCATTCGTCCTGTTAAATCAGATTTGTAGCGTCACTGAATGACTCTTTAGCCTCGCCCACCTAACCTGGTGACTGGGCTACTCTTGACACCTCCCCAACAAACAGAGGTAGAATATAACCCTCATGGCTGCTCATAGTTATATTTGTTAGCAGTGATGGGAATAGACTATAGGGATACAGTATTACACGACATTTCCGCCGCTGAGCGGAAACGACTGGGGTTCAGCTGACTTGACGAACTTCTTTAATATCCTGCAAGTTTTGGTTCATATTTGTTTGTATCCCTATCTAAGACCAGCAACCTTAGTCTGCTTCAAAGTGTTATCATTTTGTACTCCATTTCGAAGACCACGGAAGCTGGCGGATTCAACTGGTTCCTCTGCAATGCCGAAGATCCGTGTACTCACATCGCCATGTTTATAAGGTTAACATGATTCTAACGCTCACTGGATGCGACTTATCCTAGGTTTCAGCGAATCTACAGACCTGATTGGTTGGTCTGGAGTATCATGTTTACGATTAATGGTCAGTTTCGGCGGTATGCTGTTTTTGTTTCTGGTAAAATGGTGCATTAGACTATGCCTAGATGACAAAGAGGGCATGTGTACCAGATCCGTGGATATGAGTTATTTCGCATAAACTCATATCACAACATTCCTTTGACTCAACGGTGGTGCACCAACTGCTCTCAAAAGTTACTTTCAGATGCAGGAATGCTATTGCAGACAACAGTGCTGCAAATCCGTCCGTTGTCTCGTTTTTCAGAAGGTGATTCTTTTCGGCCTTCTTGAGTTTGACGCGTTTGCTCACTATGAAACTGGGACTGGTACCGTGTCCACCTGGTTCAACCTGTTCAGTATCGTCACTAGGCAGTAGCGACTTAGTGACACTGATAGAGAAGGGAATATTTCCTCAGATCTTAAGAACTGATAGGCGTTAATTCCGCCTAGCTGGTGCAATAATGCTCTACTTATGGTGCGACTCAACTGACATAATGCCGATTATTATTTTTAAGTAACAACAAACGAGGTAGCGACTCAGTGTTCACCCAATAAAATAAGAACAAGAGGACTGATAAAGTATCAGAAAATGATTTCCGACTTTACCTAGGGGTTTCAGACTATGCAACTTGACAGCAACCATGCAGACGACCAGCAAGTCCTGTTTTCCTGGCCGAGTGATGATGAAGCTTCTCTAAAAGTTTAATTATACAGAGTCTCAGTATGGAAGTAATAGTCAAATTAGGTTCACTGGCCAGGAGTGTCACGTCGAGAGAATAATGCGTTTCATATACAGGACTCGCGTTCAAGGGAAAACAGATGTTCGTCTTTATGCCTGATCTCGAAAACTGGGAAAATAACTCGTTCTGGTTTTTTCTGTCTTTTATCCAATGCTCCTGCGACGGTTTCACTTTTTATTCTCCTGAACGCAGAATATCCTCGAAATTCGGAACTTGTGAGGAGATTAACTATGTATAAACTTTGAAATTTCACTATTCTCTGTGTCAGTTATTTATTTTTTGTGTGGGCTGTGAGACACTCTTCGGGGTATAGTCAAACCAACTGCCTCTTTAATTAGGGCCATCCTTTTCCTCTTTGCAGGAGCCGTCAGAGGCAGCTGAGCAAACACCTACTTGTCTATCAGAAGCAGGCGAGATCCTACCTCAACCATCAGGTGTTGGCTAGCCCTCCCATACCTGTCCACCAAATGGTTTTTATCCTTAACTTGAGCATTTTTTGCCCTCTGTCTCAACTTGATTCTCGTCTCCATGCCTTATTACTAGTCAAGCTGTTTTAATCACGTGAATGAAAGACAAAAACACTTGATGGAAAACCTCAAACACTGCTCTGAAAGACAAGTTAATCGGGCCCACATTCCTGGGAAAGTCGAATCTAGGGAGATAGTGATGCAGCGTCTCTGTAACACAGTAGGATTTAGTCTCTCAGATCTAGTTAGTAATTGAAGGGTAAGTAGAAATGAAATGGCTGGCAAAGTAGGAACTATATCTTCTTTACCATTTCTAAGGCAAGGATCTCAGTTCTGCAAACCAAAATCCAAGATAGAACCAAATCATCCGAAATAGACTTGCATTAAAACCAAAATTGTTAAAGATTCTGCAGGATTTATTGTTCTCTTTAACAGAATGCACCAAGTTATTATAGCACAAGCCCTCAATTTTCAGGTCATACGGCATCTGAATGTCATACATTATTACGCGTACACTCTGATATACGAGATTTCTCATAATGACTCAGCTTTATGTAAGCGTAGCAACCATTCTATTTCTTAAAAGTGTGACTTATTCTGTTAACTTTAACACTAATTAGTATACGGGTACCCCGGCTTAAACTTCAATTTTCGGATTTATCTTTCACTAACCTGTGAATGTTTTGTTGTATAACTTTCACTGGAGCAGTTGAGCCTTTCATCGTAGCTGGCCTGTCTGCCCCTATCGAGTGCCCGATTTTAGCTACCTCGAATACTCTGCAGGATTGTCCTTTTCAGACAATACGTTATATGACTGTATTACAAGCTTTGAGGCTTGTGGTTATTCCTTGACCAAACACAAAAAGCATTAAGGGTTTACAAAATAGCTAGCAGTTTGGATTATTTCATTCAATGAAAATTAATTTCACTGAATTCACTGAGAGGGGTTTGGATGTTGTCAGAACTATTATGCTTTTTTGAAAATAAAAAGATAGTTTACATGGCAAATGAAGGGCAACGCTGTCGAATTCTTAGAAATATGTCCAGAATTAAACTTCTCATAGTAAATGTGAAAGTAGCTGAATGCTGTCGATGGGTAGGAAGAAATTAATGAGTATACGATAACGCCTAGTTAAGAAATCAGAATTTATGCGAATGAGATTCTCATTGGTTGTCGTACTTTTGAACACTTCCTGTACTTTATACGAAGAAATAGTATTGAAAAACTCTACTTTTGAGGATGACATTATAATTTTTTATTTTTGATTACAACTTGATCCCACACTGTATTTTTGGTACAAGTATGGAATTTTCAGCACGGATATCGGTAGCCCAAATTTTGCAGGCCGACCATAGATATCAGGTGTGCGTCGACAGGGGATCGAACCCCGGACCATGTGCATGGTCGGCGAGAGTCGTAACCACTGTGCCACCGACGCACAAAATAACAAGGTCCCATAAAGTATTTCCTTTCATTGATTGACTTACCAGCACCATATACATTCCAGATGCAGACTGCTTTTTTAGTAAAGCTCTTTTGGTCAGCGACTTGTCGAATTCTATTAAGCTTAATTAAAGTTTGAAATTTAGACCACTTAAATGTTCACTAAATTAGCAGCAACTACATTTGTCACATTGTGATATTTTAGGATTGTCCCTAATAAGATACCTGAATTTAAATTGTGGAGATTCACAAGACCATGAGTAGCTCAAATCAATTTATTTGTGCTCAGATGAGTGTAAGGTTTGTTTAGGTGCATAATTTTTACTAACGCCTGGTTAGGCGCCTGTTTGAACGGAATCCAACGTGTAGTTTTGAACTTCTAAATATAAAAACTTAGATATGCCCATGAGACTGGATATAAAGCGCAAGCTTTTGTCGAGATCTGACCGAGTAAAGTCAGTAGATCTGCATCCAACCGAACCATGGATATGTGCCGCATTGTACAATGGAAATGTTCATATTTGGAACATCGAAGCCCAACAATTGATAAAAACGATAGAAGTTTGTACAAGCCCTGTGCGTGCCGTGAAATTTGTAGCACGTAAGAATTGGATTGTCACAGGCTCCGACGACATGCAAGTAAGCTGGAAAGAAGGCATTTCCAACGTGTTTCATTTAATTCCATAACTTACTGCTGATTTCAATATTCTTTGTTTTCAGATATCTACGTAGTTCATTTCGTCTTTAGGAAATTAGAATTCACAAAATGTTGGTTAAAAATAAGTCTGATTGTTTTTGACTGGTATCTGTTGTTCTAGAACATCGTCATCTCCGAAAATTAGCTGTAGCCTTTCCAGTGTCATTAATTTAAGGGAGATTAAACATTAGTTTGTTTTGGGATTTAGTTGGCTTTTATACAGAAAGGGTAACATACGAACAGTCAGAGGACTATCAAAAGCAATATTACAGTTCCAACAGCGCTTAATCACGACCCCGTGTGATGTGGCTCAATCAGTGCCTGAATGTTGGCGTTAGCAGAGGTTTTTCATTGTTGAGGTCCACCAGGTTCGGACGTAAAGTCGATGGGACGACTAATTCTTTGCCATATCGGTAGGTGGAGAGCACTAAAAAATGAACTATAACTTAATCACCACATGTATTCTCGTAACTTGAGTGTTGCAAGATCGATCTCTCTGCACACTATGGACGTGGTCTTCCGTAGATTCCTGATCTGAGCAAAACATGTTTTGCTCTCTCCTGGTTAATGTTGCTCTGCAACAAAGTCTACTCGAAAATCAGGTGTTCCGTAAATTCTTACCGGTACTATTTTGCACTAGCCTACTAATCTGCCAGCTTTACACATAGTGAATTAAGCCCCTAATTCGGTTCTATCCCATCTTGTTTTTAGTAGAGTGGTGATTTTCATCATTTTCTTATTGGCCCTTTGGTAAAACTTTGACAGTATAAATTACAACTTATAACTCCATTATGGATAAGATTTTATTGCTCGAAACGTCATCAATTAATATTGCTGTACAATACTGTGATTTACCAGAATAAAATCCTATCCATAATGGAGTTATACTCTACTACAGTGCCCAAGTTTTACACATATCCATAAGTACAACTGATCTTTGTTATCCTACTCATATCTAAAATGAGTTGGTCTTTATCTTTGAATACTTTTGTTCGTTTTTGAATTTTCGCCAAACAAAAGAATATTTTTTGATATCAGACTATAAGTCACTAATTGTGTGAACGCTATTCGTAATACTCGGTTGGGCAAGTTAAATTAGATCGTCAGAGACTCAGACTGAGCGCCAAAACTAACGAGCCAAATCTTGTTATTAAAAAACAACTTGCATTTCCATGCAGTTTCCATGAGCTACACTTCAGATTTCTGATTTATTGGTCAAGAATAGAAGGCTTGGAGCCTATGTTAACCCTTTTCTAGTAAATTTCTGTGGTTGTTCAAACCCTTCTTGAACTAATCAGTTGAGGTTGCAGACACCACTTCTTCTGGGAGTCGGCCCCAGGAGTTTATGATCCGGTATGAGAACCAGTACTCAACAGTAATATCATTTTTTCTTGGCTTTTGAACTCTCCTGCTATGTCCCCTAAGGGTGTTCCGACCTGTTGGGAAGAAAAAGAGAGAATAGGTCAGGTCCGTAGTCATTATTTAAAGTTTTAAACATTGTGATCAAATCTCTCTGCCTACGTATGGTATGACGGAGAAGAGACTTAAACTGTCTAGCCTTTCCTCGTATGATAAGTTAGTCATGCCGTGAACCATACGTGTTGCCTTCCTTTGAACCCTTTCTAGAATGTGTGAGTCCCCTTTAAGACAAGGACTGGCTGCCTGGATACAGTTTTCTAGTCTTGACCTCACCAGCGATGTATATAAGGAGGTGAACCTATCTCTGGTGATTCTAGTAAAGGCTATGAGAATTGCCCATAAGGACCTGAAACTACGTGCAGCCACCGCGCGACAGTGTGATGTAGTTCTTAAGTCGTCGCTAACTATGATACCTAAATCCAAGTGAGTCTGAACTGATGGCAGTGTTATTCCCTCTAGTTCGTAGGAGCTTACACTTGCTTGTCCGATGCGCATGGTTGCACATTCTGCTACATTGATTGGGAGCATCCATTCTATGGACCACTCTGATAATTTGTTGAGGTCCTCTTGCAACGTGAACGTATCACAACTGCCCTTCAGCTCTCTCCAGATTTTTAAGTCATCTGCTTATAGGACCACTGGGGAATCTGTGAGCAGAGATAACTCATTGATATACAAAATGAATAGGAGAGGTCTGAGTACCATGCCTTGTGGCACTCCGCTATGCACTGCTGTCCAAGGGGAGAGTTTCGAGTTGATCCTAACCCTCTACCTCGTATCTATGAGGAATTCCCTGAGCCACTTTACTAATCTGCCTTTGATACCAAGACTTTCCAACTTCGTGAGTAGTCTTTTGTGAGGAACTTTATCAAAGGCTTTACTGCAGCCGGTTAAGACGACGTCAACGGGTCTTCTGTTATCCCTTGATTTGACCCAGCTCTCTCTACACTTATTGTGTAGGAGTTGATAACACCACCCGGTTGACTAAACTTCATAGGTGGAACAGGGTCCGAACCCGTGACTAACTTTATTTAAGTGAGCCACATCTCCACAAACATTTATGTAGTATCTTGTTGATAACAGTTGAAAAGAGCTTTAGATTATTGTACTTCAATTTTCCTTTGCCTAGTTAACTTACGTCACTCAGATTAAATGCAAAAGATGGACAAATCTTTAGGCGAATGAAGAATACAAGTACCATTTTAGAGAGAAAATGAGGAATAAGTACACTTTTCAAACTTAAAAATTCGTATCTTTTGCTGTTGACTTTTAACTTCTTGTGATTCACGTAAAAATAGAGTATTTTATAGTGTTTAGTAATAGAAGCATAAAATCATATTTTCTAAGTCAAATAATGTTTCCTAGCGTAAGTATATTATTTGAGGAGTTCAAATATATTTAAATGGACTCTAATTACTTGATGTTTTTGGTAAAAGCTGTCACTTTGTTAGAGTTTTAAGGGTATTGAGAATTGTTACTGGGGCTTAAAGTCACACTTATTTACATTACATAGCCGCGTGGCCGTATTCTTTTATGTGTTGAAATTGCTAAGCTAAATTCATGTTAAAATTTCATCGAATGCGAAGTTGTCTTTCTTTGATCATAAGTCCCTGCGTTCTATCTCCCGTGTGAAGTGGTATAACAGGATGAGAAACATCGAGCGCTAGGTAAGGAGGGGAAATCAATCGACGAGGCTGTGAAGCTACATCGACTGAGATGGTTAGGACATGTGTTATGCATGTCTAGCCATCGCCTTCCTCGACGATTAATGTTAGCTGACATAGGGTCTGGTTGGAAAAGAGCTGTTGGCTGGTGGTCAAACCAAAATATAACCTGATCAGTCAGTCAAATACACAACAGTTAAAGCCATCCAGCCATGTGGGAAGGTGTAGACCTCCTGGTTGGGTTGATAGAAACCAACGACTGGAAATAATCGGTGATATGGCTCAGAAACGTTGTCAATGGCTGGTGCAGATGCATCCACTCCTTGTGACTTGTAAATTCCAATGAAACTACATTGTTCTTCGTTATTACTATTCTTTTCGCCTCATATCTCTGTTTAATGTTTCTATTTTTCATTTTTTTTCACTTTCTCTCGCTTTGTGTGCTACATGGAGTGTGGCGACTTGAACTGCTGCACGTAGGTGCAAAGTTCTATGTTGAAACAAACTACTCAGCTAAAGGTGTCGTTCGTCAAGTGCTTTTATGTGTGTTCTATTGCTAAAGATATTACTCATAAATATACCAAGAATGTCTAAATAAGTAGGAAAAGTGGTTGTCCTTTATGTTTAGCTGCAGCCTGTTAGTCAAAACTGAATTTTAATAATCGAACTTAGATATGCTTATTGTGCATCCTATGCAACTAATTTCCGGACTTGATTTTACGTTAATTCATGACCTAACTGTTACAATTATTTATTGCTAAATCACGCATGACTTCTAGTTTATTTTGCTTTTAGAAATTCGTCTTACACTTATCTCTTCACCTCTGCTTTTGCTTTTCTACAGTTACGTGTATTCAATTATAATACTCTTGAAAGAATTCAACAATTTGAAGCACATTCAGACTATATACGATCGATTGCGGTACATCCTACACAACCATTTATTCTCACTTGCTCAGATGATATGCTTATACGTCTATGGGATTGGGAAAATAACTGGACGTGTGCACAGGTATGTTTAACTTTCATGTAAATACTTCATACGCAGATCGTATATGTTTTTATGGGATTTATGTAGCTTTACGTATACATTAGATGATAAACACTAAGGAATGTATCATCAACAGATGGTGTTATTATGAGGTTGTATGTTTTATTTTGGATACTGAAAGCAAGGCAAGCTTTCATTACTGTCAAGTCTGTGTGGAGGTCAACAGCACTACTCGGCAGTAAAAATAAAATCCGGATTTTCAACTCAAATATGAGGTCAGTGTTACTTTATGGAACAGAAACTTGGCGCGTCATGAAGAGCACCTCAAACACACTACCCATCTTCGTCAACAGCTGTCTTCGCTCACAGCCACTCAAGATCAGATGGTCAGTAAAGATCAGCAACAGAGATCTTTGGGAGTGAACCAACCCAGCAGGAACATTTTGTCCAAGGAATATACAGGAAGAAATGGAGGTGGATTGGCCATACGCTGAGGAAACCATCAATTGACATAATAAGACAAGCCATCGCTCGAGTGAAACCCGAATGGGAAGTGGCGACTTAGTTGGTCGTCAGTGCGAGGGTGACATGGAGGAGGAGGTCATGTGAAGAGGAGATGAAAGCATGTGGGCAGAAGTGGAGTCAGGTAAAAACGTTGGTGGAGAACCGAAGGCAATGGAGATGTGCGGCTGAAGCCCTATGTTCCTCTAGGAACTATAGGAAACAATAATAATAATAATAATAATAAATGTTTTATTTGGTTACTGGAGACTAAACAAATCAGCAAACAAGATTACCGTATTCCACTATCTGAGACTCATGTACAAAAGATACAAAAGGCATTTGATGTGATGGTTATGTAACTACAAATTGAAGTTATGGTGGGGTGGGATTCAAGCGTATAAACTTGTGGTGAATCTTAATAATTATAGTTCTGTCTGTCTGTTTTCGACATAGAACTTTGCACAAATGTGCGGAAGTTCAAGTCGCCACATTCCGTGTAGCACGCGAAGCAAGAGAAGAAAGTACAAGAAAAGCATAATAGAAACAGTGAGCAGAGGTGTGAGACAAAGGAGTAATAAAGAAATACAAAACAGTTTCATTGAAGATCATAAGTCACAGGGAGTGGATGCATCTGCGCCACTGAGAACGGTTTTGAGCCATGTCACCAATTGTTTCCAACCATAGATTTTTACCGTCCCGAGGACCCCAACCAGTAAGCCAGTCTACACCTTCCTACGCGGCTTAGACCAAGTGTTGTGGATTTCATTGACTGGTGAGGCCAAGTTTTTGTTTGACCGCCGCTAGCTTTTTTCCAGCCTGACCCTATATCCGCTAACATTGCTCGTCGAGGGAGGCGATGGCTTGGCATACGTAATTAATTATAGTTAAGCTAGTTCCTGTATAATTATTGCAAGAGGATTTTTTTTCTTTTTTAGGGACTAGGGCAGAACGTTTAGCTCATAATTCTGTTTCGGAGTTCATTCTTTTTAATTCCTTGATGTTCCCAGTAGGACATAGGGCTTCAAGCTAGTGGCTTAAAGTTTCTGTAGCAGTGGTGCTTATTTTTACAGGATGGGGTTGCTAGCCAGCCTCATGCCCAACCTTTCCTCTTTACCAGCTTTTTATTTCTGGCTTAGTGACTTAAAGGAGTGCTTCGGCCGGGGATCGAACCCCGGACCATGTGCATGGTCGGCGAGCGTCCTAACCGCTGTGCCACCGATGCCTTCGCAGTTCATATTTATCACTTGTGTCATTACGTCTGGCTTAGTCACACTGCTTATGCATTTAAATCACTTGTCTGACTGACTGGCTAATTAAATTCCAACATAGATCTTAGCACAAGAGTGCAACAGTTCAAGTTACCGCACAGAAAAAATAGACCAAAGAAATGAAGAGATTTAAAAGAACCATAATAAGCAGAAATATGAAGGAGAAAGCATAGTTACAAGGGAAACAAATGAAGGCTTAATGGGTATGGAAAACCGCAAATAATCAATGCATCTATACCATTGAGAATAGTTTTGAACCGCACCACCAAATAGTCTCCACCCAAAAGTTTTGAGCACCCCCAAAGTCCTTAACCAAGCAGTTTACACCTCCCTGTGTGGTTCAAACCAACTGTCAAAGACTCCATGAACTGATGGCTGGTTTCGGTATGATCACCCTCATTCAAATCATTTTCTCCAGTGCAGTACTATATACATATAACCAGGCAGTTTCTATTGTAACTTGTTCTCTATATCTTCCGAATAAAGTCGATGGATTCACGTAAACGAAGACTACAAAAACCATCAACTTATGTCACTGTCTTTTCTAATTCTAATAATACCATTGAAACAAAGAGTTCACATGCCAATTTCAGTTAGAAGTCAGTCAAGCAGTACACATTTGCTGTAAGAATTAATGCCAAATCTATACATGCAATAGTGTGACGCCTGTCTTGTGGATTCATAAATGCTAAAAGTGTTAAATGATGCCACCTGGATTCTGTGTACGTCTCTCTCACCAACACAATACAAATTCATGGTGCGGAATGCCAGAATTTCGGTTAGTTAGGTGCGTTGACCAATTCGATACGAAGAAACAACTTTGAGTGCCCCCAATATTGGTATAAACTGATATCTGTGGTTAAATGGTCAGTGGGGGGGGGGACGCCCCGCAATATGGGTGTCCCGGGTGCATACTGTCGAAGAGTCAAAAACTAGGACGAAATGGCTATCTAGCACTCTCTGGTTTTCAGCGATTTTATAACTAATTAAATTTTGTGATCCAAATCGATCAAATCCCCGTAAATATACATTTAAGAATTTCTATATTAAGTGAGTGAAAGTTGGTAATTTTTTTGCGGCATTTATCTATGTGTTAATTCATCTTCCACCAGGTATTTGAAGGACACAATCATTATGTAATGCAATTAGTCTTCAATCCAAAGGATAACAACACATTTGCTAGTGCTTCAATGGATCATACTGTCAAGGTATGGAGTCTTGGATCAGGTACACCAAATTTCACTTTGGAAGGTCATGAAAGAGGAGTCAATTGTGTGGATTATTATGCATCTGGTGATAAACCTTATCTGGCTAGTGGATCAGATGATCGAACCGTTAAAATATGGGATTATCAAACTAAAGCATGTGTACAGACTCTTGAAGGTCATGCCCAAAATATCAGGTAATTGAATCTGCCCAACTTTGTTTTTGTTATTTTGTCTTTCCCTTTAAACATTTTTGAAAGCATTACTGATATGTTGAATTCACCAAGAAATTTACAAATCTTATGCCAAAATTTGTATGAATTTTCACTCAGTGGGCGATTGTTACTTTCCGGCTACTCACACCATAGAGGTTGATTTTTCCTCGGGGTACCTGAAACAGAAAGAGAATTAGTGTTGCGTGACCGTGGAGCCCAGGGGACAACTGTTTGAGGCCGGTCACACACTGCCTATTTGAATTGGTTATTAGAGTTGTGTCTGCATCAAGAAGTTGGCTCCGGCTACGAACCGCCGTGAGTTAAGTCAGAATGTAGAATTTTTCGGGGTCGACCTTTTCTAACCCCCCTCTCCAGAGTGGAGAAATAACATAGCTGCACACTCTCCCGACAACTACTTTCAGTCTAATCGCTATCCTACAAACCTTTCTGGAATGGTAAGACTACTAGGAACATTAGTTCCAACCGGTTTATCTCTTAGTGTCGTGGCGTTATGCGAACCCGACCACCACCTCAAGGTAGCAGCTATCGATCGGGAACCCAACCGGGATGTCTATTGTGTGAGGACTAATGATGTCACCCGGCTGCCCAAACCTCGGTAGGTGGACTGGCATTCAAAGTTACTGGTTGGAAGTGGACAGCCTAGATCAAATGAGCTACAACTCCACCTCTGCCCCATCTACCGAGATGCAGTATCAATAATCTCCACAAAATTTAAAAAAAAATTATATGTTCATTCCTGTACGTTCCCAGTGGAACATAAGGCTTCAAGCTAGAGTCTTGAAGTTTCGGTACTACTATTGTTTATTTTTACGGAATGGGGTTGCTTGCCACATGCCCAACCTTACCTCTTTACCAGTCTTATTACTGGCCTAACTAGATAAAGTAGTGCGTCGGCCAGGGATCGAACCCCGAACCACATGTGGCGTTGTCGGCGAGTATTTTGTCACTGACGCACTCAACATAGGGCTTCAAGTTAGACCTCCGAAGTTTCAGTAACAGTGGCATTTTTTTACGGGGTGGGGTTGCTAGCCTCACTCCCAAACTTCCCTTTTTGTCAGGATTATAACTAGCTAAGGGAGCCAAAGGTGTGCGCCGGTCGGGACTCGAACCCCGGACCACCTGCGTGGTCGGCCAGCATTCTGCCGCTGAACCACCAACGCATCTCCACAAAATAAGTGTAGTGTATTGCCCCAAATGCATAGAAACATAAGTAACTGGATTCTATAAACGAACTTTTTTGTCTTAAATAAGAAATAGACCCACTAGACACTAAATAGAGTACTGTTCATGTCTAAGACTGTATTACGATGAGTTACTGCCTCATCTTCAACTTGCTGCACCCTACTGGTTACGGCTTCCCACTAGAACCCCAGGTTAACTGCCCGAATAGGGCCAGTCACTAGTCAGCATCAGATTAATTTTCAAGTATTGGTTTTGTAGGGATTTTGTTTGATTTCATGGAGGATTTCATCATGAGCTGACACCTATTAGAGAACCACTACGTACTGCTGTAGAGTCCCAAACTAGGACGAAACAGCTGTCCAGTGCTCCCAGGTTTTCCAGTGGTTCTCTAACTGATGTCAGCTCATGGTGAAATCCCCCATGCAATCAAACAAAATCCCTACAAAACCAATACTTGAAAATTAATCTGATGCTCACTAGTGACTGGCCCTATTCAGGCAGTCAACCTGAGGTTCTAGTGGGAAGCCGTGACCAGTAAGATTGTATTAATTGTTCATATGCTTATAACTGCAGGAAGTTTTATCATTAACTCACTTCTTCAATATGTATTCCGACAAATATCGAATAGCGGTCAATCACTGTATATTCTGTCAACTGCAAAGATAAAAAGAAATTACTAACAGTTTAACCCCGAAATCGTGTTTTGGCGGTTCAGTGGTAGTCTGCCCACCAGCAACGCAGGGGGTCAGGGTTCGAATCCCAGCCGACTCATTCCTAAATTCTGAATCACTCGAAGTAAACTGAAAGAAGAGAGGAAGTTGAGCGTGAGGCTTTCGACTCCAAACCGCAAGAATAACAACACCGCTACTGATGTCGTAAAGCTTGAAACCTTATTCCCCACTCAGAATACAAGGGGAATAGATTAAATTATCAGGTTGATTGTAAGTGTTTTCTTATTAAACAAGATAATAAAACAGTTTTGAGTTGTTGTGTGTACCAAAAGGATCTAAGTGAAACGCATGCTAGTTTCCTTTTTGCCTTCAACTCTTTGTTTGTTTTTCATTTTATGCTATTGTGGTTAAGTTCTTCACCTAAAGAAACTTATCTTTCTTGTTACCTTTTCCCTCTGTCTGTCTCTCTTTCTCTCTTGTAGCTCAGTTTTATTCCATCCTGAATTACCAATTATCTTGACAGGATCTGAGGATGGAACTGTACGATTTTGGCATGCAAATACTTATCGTTTAGAGTCAACGCTAAATTATGGTTTAGAACGTGTGTGGGCAATGACATGTCATAGAGGCAAACAAGTACTAGGTATTGGTTATGATGAAGGTACAATTGTAATATCATTGGGTCGAGATGAACCTGCTATGTCTATGGATTCATCTGGAAAGCTGGTTTGTGCCAGGCATGCTGAACTAGTACAAGCGAATTTACGCTCGTTGAATTTCAGTGGTGAAGGTGGTGATACTATTCAGGTGATGAGAATAGAATTCTTAATGATTTTTGATATTTATGTCACTATTATTATTGTTATTGATTCCCTACATTTCGAGGGGAACATAGGACCTCAACAGCTAGGCTTTATTGCTCTTGGTTCTTCACTACCACTTTCAGTTGGCTTTAGAACTTCACACAGGCTTTCATTTCCCTCCCCCCTCGGGATCCAACTTGTTGCTCCACATACACACTCCACTCAAAAGTCTTCTCAGAGTCTGTCCAATCCATCTCTACTTCGTTCTGCATATTTGTTGAACGATGGTTTCTTCGCTGGTGGTTCATGACTGGAGTTCCTTATCGCCTATCTTTTTTGATCGGTCATCTGATTTCCAGTGTTGACCGAAGGCAGCAGTACCTAATGAAAGTTTTTAGTAACCTGTTGGAAATGCCAAGTCTCAGAGCCACATAGTAGAAACACTTACTTGACAGTAGTATGTATAGGGTTGAACAGTTTTCGGAACTTTGTGGATCTCCACATTGATTTCTTTCACTAGTGATGATTAATTATCGATCTTTAGTACAAGAGGGAATGCAAAATCCTATTAAGTCCATTAGGCACACACACACACAGAAGTGGCAGACAAAGGGCTCCATCAATGCAATCAGCTCCTAAAGTCGATATTTGTAGGTCTGTAGGGGACTTTTTAGCGAGCTCAGTAACATAACAAGTATTTGAATAAAAATCCAAGTTAATGAGATGATAGTGTAACAGTATATTATTTAAAAAAAATACAATAATGAGTGATATAAATTAATCGGTTACTTGGTGATACAGTTAAAGTCCACTGCTACAAATTAATAATGTAATCCACCGAAGTGTTCACTACTGGAGTCATGTATATTGCAGTGTGTACACACATTGGTACAAATATTGATTCTTTGACCTCTTTTGCCTTTTGTGTAAATATGTATGAGAAATACGTATGTGTGTGCGTGTGTGATCAGAATGTCCGAAACGCGTTGCACAAATACACACATTACACACTTAAATTACGTCTTTTTATTGTTTTATCATAAAGTGTTATGATCCCGTTGCCAATTGATTGCTATAACCGAGTAAACTTATGCATGGGTATAATAGTACTAACTCAATGGACAACTCAACTAAGATGCTAGAAATGGTTATTCGTCCCTTAACACCTTCCGGTTCACACTAAGCTATGTGAATATCAAAAGACAAAGACTATGGCAGTTAGGATACAAGTTTATTATGAAAATAGCACATTATATATATATATATATATATATATATATATATATATATATATATATATATGTATATTTAACCACATTAAAATGTGACTTGCTAGGGCAGTTAACAATAGATTGTTCTGATTGGTAGGCGATTCGGCTAGTCCACGGAAAATAAATATCCTGATTGGTTGGCGACTGGCCCAGGATCAAGGTTAAATAAGATAAGATGTTACATGGAATGATTACTATTTTTAGCCGCTTCCCATCGTAAAGATAAAGAAGGGATTCGTATGCTTTTAGAAGTGTGTGGGTGGTTGTTACTTCCCTGCTGCCCTCAGACTGTGGAAGATAAGTTAGAAAACTGTAGGAAGACCTGAGAGTCCCTAGTTTGGGACTCTTCATCAGTACGCACCCGCCGGGGTTCAAACCCAGGACCTTTTAGTGACGAGGCGAGCTCATAGACCATTAAGTCACTAGGGTCCTTCCTATCATAATGGGAACTAATTACTTTACATTTCAATTTTATTTTATTTTTTGTTGTTGTTGCTAGAGTTGACAGTTACATTACGTAATCAGTGTGAATTACTTGATTTCTTACTGAATTTCTCTAGGATGGTGAACGTCTTCCAATTACTTTTAAAGATATGGGTACAAGTGAAATATATCCACAGACAATTGAACACAACGCCAATGGACGTTATGTTGTTGTTTATGGTGATGGAGAGTATATCGTTTATACGGCTATGGCACTGAGAAATAAAACATTTGGTCAAGGCTTAGAATTTGTTTGGTGTCAGTCAGATGCTGGAGTGTATGCCGTACGCGAAAGTAATGCTGTGGTTAAGGTATGCAAAGTGTCTTTATTCCATATATTCTCTAATCTACTTTGTATTTTATTATTTGCCTGTTTTAAAATATAGGATAACATCTAAATTTGGGGTATGGTGGGGTGGGACACCGTTTTGAGTAGATTTCAGTATAGGATTAATTGCCTTTAAGGTTTCGTTGAGAAAACAGATATTTAATATACATTTCCTGTCTTTCACTCTATGGTTGTATTCAGTCAAAGTGATTGCTGAGGTGTCTCTATTCACATTTATGTTTCAAGTGGAACATAGGGCTTCATGCCTCAGCTCTGAAGTATCCGTAGTCTTGGTGTTGTTTTTTACGGGATGAGGTGACTTCTTCATACTCCCAACCTACCCTTTTTTCCAGGCATACTACTGTCCAGGAGAGGTTTAGGAGGGCATCAGGTCGGAATCGAACCTTGAACATGTGAGTTGTTGATCAGCTAGCATTCTGCCATTCAACTACCGATGCATCAATTGGAAAGTTCAGCGCCATATATAAGGAGAAGGCTTTTAACAAAAAGTCCTGAAAGTAGATGTCATACTTACTACCAATTATCTAGCTCTGGCCTGGTGTACTTCTTGTTAAATTTTTAGCGACTTTATTACTAAGCTGTTCAAGTCATGGTCGACTCCTTTTAAGGCTGATATGCATAAAATAACCCTTTTTTTGGTCTGGGTTGATCGATGTCTGTCGATTAGGTGTGGAATACAAAATATTAGAAACGTCTTTTAACTGAATACTTGCTAGTAACTAGTGTTGTGCGTCGTCTAGTCTTTCATTTGGTGCAGACTGAATTCTATGAGTCAAGTTTGCAATATAACCACGCCACTATGTGACTCACCATCACGATGCACTTTGAATAGTTATTATTAGTTATATGGAGGCTATCGATAGTAAAGCTCTAGACCTAGGTTTCGTGCTTGTTGACACTCGTGTCAGCAAGGCATATCTGCAATCTTGAAGAAATACGTGTCCCATCATCCACATAGGTTCGAACCTGAATAGCTCAGTGGTAACATCATTGACTGTGGCGTTGAGTGACACGGGTTTGAATTTCAGAAGGAACATGGTCTCCTTGAAGACTTCAACGACGCCTTGCCAACAAATTCGAGACCTAGGTTCAGGAAATCTTGTCGATCGTCTCCAAGCGTCGAATGACAACAATTTAGAGTGTAGAGTGTGCCACGACCTTTGAATTCAGTCAAGAGGCAAGTTTACAACTTCATCGCATGCGTGTCAGTTGTTCTCAGGTTGTTTTCTGGACTTCAAGCTCACCGTATCCATTTCCGGCTGTTTCATAAATGCATTCACTTCAGTGGTAAGATATACGGATTAGACATCTAATATGTTTGGTCAACAATAATTCAGTTAATCTAACTGACGTTTTAGGAGGGAGGTGAAGTCGGTGACTTTCTCAGTGTCACTAGCATAGATGATGTCATTTCGCAACTGTTATGAAGGAGTGTTACTAGATTGTGGGTTCGTGTCACTTGACTAGAGAAGGTGCCTCCAGCAGAACGTGACACTACTATAACCAACTGATCACTTGAAGGTATCTCTCACATTGAAATAGACACAAATGTGCAAGACAACTACGAAAACATTCATGTTGTCATTCCCTGGTGAAAAAAAAACTACCAGCATATAACGGCAATAAATGTAGACTGTGTCTTTAAAAGGATTCTCTCATATCTTCTTTGTGTGTTTCTCTCTTTTTATGAGTTAATTTAATTCATATCCTCTCCTAGGTCCGAACCTGAATAGCTCAATGGTAATGTCTCTGACTGTAGCACTGAGTGACACGGGTCCGAATCTCAGAAGGGGCTTGACTTCCTTCAAGATTGCAGATGCGCCTTGCTGTCAAGTGCCAACAAGCACCAAGTTTAGATTCAAGGCTTCCTACCGATTGCATCCAGCCATCTTATAACAAGACATCTTACTTGATGCTGATAAATAGTGAATAGCGTTCTAATTGGAATATTACTGGAACAAATAGGAAACTATTCACCTAATTATTATTTATACAGGACTGTTTTGATGTATTAGCTTAAGTGTGTTGTGTATTTCAACTGACATGTTGTTTTCCCGACTTCAAACTCACCATGTCAAGTAGGTGATTTTCAGCCGCTTCACAAATGCATCTACGGCGACAGTAAGCTAAGTGTACGAACTAGACGTCTGTTTCATTTGGTTGTTTCAAGATTCAGTTAATCTAACTGGTTTTTGTTAGGGGGAGGTAAAGTGGCCAAGTTACTAGTCTTGCAACTGTTTTGATGAAGTGATATTAGATCCTGAGTTCGTCTAACATGACATTAACTATAATAGGTGCCGCCTGAACACGATGATACTTTAACCAACTGATTACTTGCAAATATCTTCCCCATTGAGATGGACACAAAAGTCAGACTGGAGAAATTGACTACAATGACAACTTTTATTCGATAAAACACACGGTATATTATATGTTTACAAGCTCTTGGAAATTCAAACTATAAATAAATCAATAAACAAATTTGATTGGTTGTATATATGACCTCAGACAATTAAGCCATAAATAAACGAATCAAAAAGCTATCCAATCAGGTTATAATGTTTGTACATGCATATATCATGATTTTATGGTTGAAAGAAAGAAGCCTGTCTATCTGTCCTTACAGCTAAGAATGACACGTGAACTCTTTTCACAGGAAATGTGAAATCGAAGGGCAACACGGATATAAAAAAACATTCATGTTGTCAAGCTACTAGTACTTAACAATAGGGAATCTAGGATTTTTTCTCATTTCCTCTTTGTGTGTTTCTCTCTCTTTTTACTATGTGCTAATATCATCCAGGTATTCAAACAAATGAAGGAGATTCGTACTTTTAAACTTGACTATGGAGCTGAACAAATATTCGGTGGTCAATTGTTAGGTGTACGCTCATTGACTGGTTTAACATTTTATGATTGGTTAACTGGACGAATTATTCGACGTATCGACAATAGTCCAAAAGGTGTTTATTGGAGTGAATCTGGTCAGCTGGTTGCACTTTGTACAAATGATGCCTTTTTCATATTACGTTATTCAGCTGATGCTGTGCCCGACTTAGATACACCAGCGAATAATACTACTCATGAAGATACAGATGGTTATGAGAAGGCTTTTCAAGTAAGTTGTGATCATAATTGATTGTATATCGATGGATTGTAATATTTGAAACATTTAGGAAGAGAATTATTGTGATGGCTTTTGTGTTTAAGTTCATCTGACGAGTAGTTAACTAGTGGCGATATAATTGAGCATTGTTTTGCATTATTATTATTATTGTTTATTATTGTTCCCTTGGGTTCTTAGTGGAACATAGGGCTTCAACTGCACGTCTCCACTTGCCACTTCTGTCTTGCTTCTGCTGTACTTTCCACCTGCATCCATGTTAGTTAGTCCATACTCTTTCAACTCCTCTCTCTTCACACGACCTCCTCCATGTCACCCTCGCACCGACGTCCCACTCGCCGCTCCCCTTTCGGCCTGGTTCCACTCGAGCAATGGCCTGACGCGCGCGCGATGTCACCCAGCGGCGGCCTCCTCATCAGCGAGTGTCCAATCCATCTCCACTTTCTTTTGCATATTTGTTGGTTGGCGATTGGTTCTTGTTTTCTTTGTTCCTTCCCATAGTTTCTTGTTGGTGGTTCTTTCTGGTCCGGCCATCTGATCTTCAGTATAGAGCGATAGTTGACAGTTGTTGGTTGATAAAGGTCTGCAACAGGCTGTTGGAAATATTCTTTGTGACCCGCCGCCAAGTTTCTGATCCGTATGGAAGAACTGACTGACTTGACGTTTGTATTTAAAATCCTGCCGAATTTTGTTGTTGATGCTGAGTGACGAAGATTTCCAGATTGGTTTCAGGCTGATGAATGTGTTCCTGTGTTTTGTAGATGTCTATTAATTGTGTTTTCTTGTCATGATGGATCGATTACTGACGAAATCTCAGCTCTCTTATGCAAAAAGCTCGTGTGGGATTTGGGAAATTACTTCATTTCCAGTGTAGACATGATATCTAGTAGTTGTCAATCAATCGTCGTGTGTACTTCGCTATGTCCTCGTGTATGTCTATGAGACATGGCCATTGAAAGTGGTAGAATATGAAAGGCCAGCTATTAGCTGTCACAGATGTCTGTGTTTCATCTCCCGTGGTAAGTGATTTATAATATTAGTGAGTAGTATTGAGGTTAGGTTTAGAGTGATACGTGTCAGGAATGGAATTTAATCGCTGCGGTTGTGAGAAGCTACGTTGATTGACAGATGGCTAAGACACGTGCTACTCATGCAGAATCACAGCATTCCTCGATGGCCAATGTTAGCTGAAATAGGATTAAGTTATAAAATGGGTTAAGTGTGACCAAATCATAACCTGGCATCAATTTATGAAGTCTTTGACACTTAGTTGATTGGTGGTCAGTTAGCCGAATAGGGGGAGGTGTAGACTACTACCTGGTTGGGATCCTCCGGATTCTAAGAACCAAGGTTTGGAGACTGTTGATGATCTAGCTCAAAATTGTTCTCAGTGACTCATATACGTTCACTGTTTGTTTGTGCGACTTCCAATATCCATTAAAGACCCTCAGATTTTCCTTGTTATTACTCTTCACTTAGCTGTAGAATCGTTAGGCCTGTGCAAGAACTGGCGTGGAATAATGCTCTTGTCCTTGCCGAGTAAAATGCTAAGTTCCACCATCCTGGAGAGAATAAAAGATACACTGGATACAGAACTCCACCTGCCCGAACAAGCTGGATTCAGGAAAGCCAAATCATGTACAACTCTACGCATCGCCATCACAGAACAAAGCATCGAATGGCAGTCAAAGTTCTCCCTACCTCAACTTCATCGACTTCGAAAAGGCCTTCGACAAGCAGCGTTGACCGAGAAGTAATTTGGAAACTACTTCGATCTCATTCAACAGCTATATGACAATGCCCTACGCGTGTCAGGTGATCCACAACGGAGAACTCAGCGAGGCGTTCGAAGTGCATACAGGAGTAAGACAAGGGTACCTGCCTATAATCACTGGTGATATTCTTAATTGTGGTGGACTGGATTATGCGTCAGACTGTGGAGAGCGAGGAGAAAAGAATACACTGAACTGGTAAGGAGACTCTGGAAGGTCTGGATTTCTCGTGTGGATGATATATGTCTAGTGTCACACAAACTCGAAGACTTGCAAGCGAAAACTAAAAAAACTGGCTGCAGAGGCTGCCAGCGAAGACAGGACTGCAGGTGAACACACAGAAGACGGAGGTGATGAAGATAACCAACCAACCGCCACATCAACAACAATCAGCACCAATCACCATCAACAGGAGAGATTTAACAGAGGTTACCTCCTTTACTTATCTAGGCAGCCAGCATCGTTTCAACTACAGGCAGTCGAAACAGATGAAGATGTTAAATCCAGGCAGAATCGGAAAGGCAGGATACGCCGCCTTCATCAACCTGAAATCAATTTGGAAATCTTCTGCACTCAGCTTAAATAAGGGAAAAAATTCGGATTCTCTTTAATACAAATGTTAAGTCAGTCAGTCCTTCAATGCGGTTGAGAAACTTGACCAGCGTGTCACGAAGAGGATTTCCAACAGCCTGTTGCAGACTTTCATCAACAGCTGCCTGCCACCCTTGCTGTCTCCACACTGAAGAAACAATGGTCAGAAAGAATTAGTAACAAGAAACTGTGAGAACAAATCAATCAAGAGCCGGTCGCTCCACAAATATGTAGGAGAAAATGGAGATGGATTGATCGGGCATACATACCGTCAAATGACATCACGCTCAGTGCAGTCCATTGCTCGAGTAGAATCCTATTGGAAGGCGACGAGTGGGTCTTGACCTCGAGGGTGACATGGAGGAGATGAGAGATTATGGGCAGACATAGACCCAAGTAAAGAGGATGGCAGAAAATAGAAGAAAGTGGAAGTGTCGTTGAAGCCCTATGTTTCACTAAGAACTCAAGGGAATAATAATAATAATAAAGTGAGAATAAACTAGTTCGGCGTATTGTGTTTACATCAACAAAATATTTCAGAAAAATCAATGAATAATCAGTTGGTGACTAGGGGGAGGGAAGTGAAGACTAGTAAGTTTAGACTAACATAAAAAAAAACTGTCAGAAAAACATGGATGTTAATGAAAGACAAGTGCTACTATACGGATCAGAGACGTCGCGAAGGGCACTTAGAACAAGCTACAGGCCTTCACCAACAGCTGCCTTCTCTCAATGCTACTCAAGATCAGATGGCCGGGCAGAAAAGATCAGCAACAAGGCGGGATCTCTGCCGATGAGCGAAACAACCCAGCAGGAACCAATTGTGCAACGAGTATGCAGGAAGAAATGGAGGTGGATTGGCCATACTCTGAGAAAGCAAACCATCAAGTGAGTGACATCACACGCCAGGCCATCGCTCGAGTGGAACCCGAATGGGAAGTGGCGAGTATTTGGTCGTCAGTGCGAGTGTGATATGGAGGAGGTCATGTGAAGAGGAGATGAAAGCATGTGGGCAGAACTGGAGTCAGGTGAAAACGTTGGTGGAGAACCGAAGGCAATGGAGATGTGCGGCTGAAGCCGTACGTTCCTCTAGGAACTAAAGGAAACAATAATAATAACAATAATGAATAAGTAGAGATGGGTATCAAAATATAAATTATGTAACAAGGTTGGTCAAGAAAATGATGATTAAAAGTGTCTTACGAAGAGTGCAAACAACAATATTATTAATAACAGAATATTGATAACAGTTAGACTTGGAATTATACTCAAGGTAGGTGGAAAGAGACGGCATAGAGAAGTTTCTTTTGTATTCATAAAATCAGAGTTTTCCTTTCGCACACCTCTAAGACCTCCAAAATGCAAAGTATACACAGAGAGAGACATACCATTTTGCTTTTGACTTTGTAGATAACCTTGAATAAATTTTCCCCTATAAATCATCGAGTGTCTGTGTTATTAAACTAATAACACCCCTTACTGATCCATTGGGATCTTTCTGTTCCTCGACTCATTTAGATAAGACACATATGAAATGATAGGTTGTCCAGCTTTTTTTAAGGGGGGGGGGCATTTTCTCATCTCTTGTCATTCCCTGAGAACTACAACTGTCCATTTGTAACGACAGAAGACAGGGGCCAAGCAACAGATCGTTTATTGAGAAAATCAAGAGATACTTATAGATTTTTATGTAGATTATTGTTAGCGGCGAAGCAACGTCTTCTGATTGGTTGTTTTCTTGCTGAAATGTATTTTGTTTTTGTATTTCTTTATTACTCCTTTGTCTCACACCTCTGCTCACTGTTTCTATTATGCTTTTCTTGTACTTTCTTCTCTTGCTTCGCGTGCTACACGGAATGTGGCGACTTGAACTTCCGCACATTTGTGCAAAGTTCTATGTCGAAAACAGACAGACAGACTTGCTGAAGGTGGTTATTCTGTCATCCCTTTTTGTGGCCGTTTCTTAGGTAGTCACACCATATATCTGCGAACCGTATTGGCTCACGTTAAGTTTGCAGTGATTGGTTGGTGAGTTTCTCAAGGTTTTCTTATGACCGAAATTCGGTACGTGAACACTGACGTAAATTGTTGTCTACAATTTTGGCTTACAGATAGCTCTTACTACACATTAACTTCTTCAAAGCCATTATCTTTTCAGTTATTGAGAGTTAAAATGCAATTCTTCTTGTACAACATATGTCACTTATTGTTTGTCTTTTAATTTCCCAGTGATTTAAAGTACACTACTCTCAGGCTCCAGTAAATCCATGCATGAAAGCTATTCACATGTGTTTCATTGTTTGTTATTTTTTGTGTTATATTTGTTAGTATTTGGTTTTCTTCAAAAAACACAAAACATTTCCCATCCTCATTCTCTCTCTTCTCTTATATAGCTTGTACCAAATGGTGAAGTCAATGCCCAAGTTCGTAATGGTCGTTGGTTTGGTGATGCATTCATATTTACAACACAGACAAATCGTTTGTGCTATTATGTCGGTGGTGAGGTTGTCACATTGGCCTTATTAGATCGTCCAATGTATCTCTTGGGATATTTGGCTAAAGAAAATCGTCTGTTTCTAGGTGATCGAGATTTACAGGTAGGTTGGTGGTAGGAGCGGGGATAATTTCTTTTTTTAATTAATTATTCATATGTTCAATTCAATGCATTCCATGCAGTTGGCTCCCCATAACCTTGGTAAGTGTAGTGTAGCGGGGTTCGAACTTGTGACCTACAGGTTGGAAGTCAGGCGCCTAAACCAGCTCAAAACCCCCAGTCGCAAAATTTTAGGTTATTGTCTGAAGTATTATTTAGAATTCAGCTGTGTATCAACTTGAAATGAGTAAACACGGCCTTTGGTTTAATGTAAGTAAATTTCACTTCAGTCATGATATAACTAGACAGTTGGTGCTCTAAATCGCCATTTACCTGTTATTATTTGTTTGATTATTGTTTTTAATTCATGGATAATCCCCATCCAGGCATTAATGAAAACAAAACACGTAGATCAGCGAAGAGTCTCTTTTCGCCGGTGAATTCATTTTCCTAGCTGTACAATCGGAAATATATATGTATAGGTTATTTTGTATGCATGTGTACATTAAGTTTGTCAAACAAAATTACAATTGGTTAAGGTTACTTTTAACTAAATTGGTCAAGGTTAGTAATAGAAGTCAAGAAAATTAGGTGTTAATGAAACTAGGGTAGTAACAAAGGTGATGAGTTGTCACAAATAGTTGTTAAAAGAAGTTATGTTATGTTAATATGAATAGTTTGATGAGTGAGTTTTACTCAGGATGCACATAGAAACAAAGTAGATATTACGAAATTATGTAAGAGATCTAAGAATTATAAGCAATCAAAGAACAGGCAAAGAAACAAAATTAAGTCATCAAAATAAAAATAAAAAATCTCAAAACAAATCAAAACATTGTTACCATGAGAGTAGAAGTGGTTGAGTAATCCTCTTTTGTATGCACAGCTCCGGTGTTTCTATGTGAATGGCCAGAGCTTCAGCGATACAAAGAAGACGAAACCGTATTGCCTTTGGTAGGTTATTGGTGACTCTGTAGATTACTTTGAGGGAGGCGTTTGTTGAGATGGGATGATCAGTGTTAACCAGGTGTTCGATTATCGCACCCCTTATTGCACCACTACTGCCTTTTCGCAACTATGCTGGCTGGATAGTGTTCTTGAATCCTCTTGGACAGGGTGCGCGTCGAGCGACCGATGTACCTGGCTCCACAGCAGCAGGTGAACTGATATATGCACATAGAAGTGGTCAGACATGAGATCTTGTCATTGAGGCTTCTGCAGATCACTGGGCAACTGGAAAACACTATTGTTAGCGTTGCTGCAAACAATGTTCTTCTCAGAGATGATGCAATCCTTCTCTCGAGAATATCGCTTGCTAAATCTCCCTTGAAATCCAAGTTCATGTAGAGTTTCTTTTTAGGAGCAATTAAAGTTTCGTTTCTCCGAATCATTGGTTTCATATTTTTGTCGATGAATCTTATTTGGTATCCATTTTGGATGAAGATTTCTCTTAGAATATCTAATTCTGTTTCCAGAACGTCGGGACTACAGATGCGTCGTCGGATGCGGGTGGCAAGTGATTTAATTAAATTTCGCTTTTGTTGAATGGGTACCCAGCTATAGAAGCTTGTTAGTTGACCATTCCACATAGGTTTTCTATGGATTGATCTTCTTAAGCTCCCACCAGCTCTTCTTGTTAGTTCCACATCAAGAAACGGAATTTTTGACTCGTTTTCTATTTCAAGAGTGAATTTTATTGCTGGATGGCAACAGTTTTGATGTAGCTGCGTTCTCTGAGCTATGAAGCTTTCATTCCCCTACTAGGCAACGTCTTCAACGCATACTTCAATTTGAAGTGAGCTTTTAGATTTCCCCACTAGTTTATTCGCCATCTCCCCAGGTGCCCTTGAACGTGGTAGGTCGTTTTTGTGTCTTCACACCCTCTAGGCTTATACTTAAATGGGTATTAGTGCTGGTCGTATCCTTGACCTGAAGTTTGACCCATTGTGTGTGTGTGTGTGACATTTCCTACTTATCGATTGGTAAATTTTGTCTATCTCGATATGCCTATTGACTGGCGAGTCACTGGAATACCAGACAGGTTTCTGAAAATTCTGTAGCATTCTTGGTGTTTCCTCTCTTTAGTATTTGAACGTTGTCGCAGTTGAATTGACGTCTGTGGTTGTCTGTATGCAGTAAGGCGATATGAGTGAGGGAGTGGACGTCATGTCTTTTGATGGCTAGTTTATGACCATGGATACGAAGATGACATCCAGGTGATTACTGTTGATGATATACTCTTTATCACATTTGTATAATCATATTCAGCACCTTTTTTGAACTGTGCGGTCACGATAATTTGGTGTAGCAGATTGGCTACTTACCATCTGTTTTTCTGCCAGCTAACTTCACTGTCTCTAAGTTTCCAACAATACATAAGTTAGAATCCGGTTACTGGGATGACATTTCCACATATCAGGGGCTACACTTATGATGTTAATAGTTCATGAAATTATCCAGTCGCCGTTTCTGAAGTAGGCAGCGCTAGGGTTGAACTTACAACCTATCTGCTGCCGGTCAATTGGTAAAGTCATTTAGGTGTAAATCCGCAGTGGTGTTCACCACCTTGAGAACAAAATATGAAGTTTCATACAGCATGTACGAAAATGAGATAATCAGAGTGATTTAGGAAATTATGATTAGGAAAATCAGTTACTTATAAGTAGTAACAATAGTTTGAATAAAATTGTGTGTGAAACCGCTGTTCAATGCTTGTATCTATGCCTGCCATTACTGTATTTTTAGTTCTCTTGGGCATTCTCATTCTCCTTGTCTTTTATCATGACCATTTTATATTATTTTGGTATGATGAAGTCCAGGATGTGCATTGCGTCCTATTTGAGACTCGTCAGCTGGATGCACTCTCATCTGCAGTGAGGTGATGGTTCTCCGACTGACACTCGAACTCTCTGTAGCTATCGTTTCAAACGTCAAAGCGTTAACCACCAGGCCATGAGATGCGCACCTTTGGGTTCCAATGGTAGTCACTATCAACTGAAGTAGCATCATGGTACTGGGAGCCGACACTGTCAGTCAACGGGAAAAGGAAATCGAATTATATGTGTATCTCATTTTGTTTTTTAGATTGTTAGCTACACTCTACTGTTGAGTGTTCTGGAATATGAAACTGCAGTGATGCGTGGTGATTTCACGACAGCTGATTCAATCCTGCCAAATATCTCTAAAGATCAGTATACAAAGATTGCTCAATTCTTGGAGAAACAAGGCTATCGTAAACAAGCTATGCGTGTAACAACTGATATGGATCATAAATTTGAATTAGCTTTACAATTAGGCGAATTTGAGTTGTGCCAACAGATTGCAATGGAAGGTGATCCGAAGACAAATGAGAATAAATGGAAACAGGTGAGTGAATAATAATTGAGTACTTGAATACCACTGAGATGCTCACTAGCGGCTAGCCCTATTCAGGTAGGTAGTTACCTGGGTTGTAGTGGGAAGTGGTGACCAGTAGGTTGTAGCAGGTTGGGTGTGAGGACAAATACTCTTTGAAGATATTGGCTAGCGATCGCGCTATGTCGTGAATTGACAGAAGTTAGAATTCATGGATTGGCCATTGGATCGAGTCCCAGCGGCTTGATTGTCTACTAGCTAACTCGCCTTGTAACCAGAAGGTTCTGGGTCCGGACTCCTGTGGTGGGTGCATACTGATGAAGAGCCCCAAACTAGACTGTTGAAACAGCTGTGCAGTACTCCCTGCAGGTTTTCCAGTGGTTCTCTAACTGATGTCAGCTGATGATGAAATCCTGTAACCAATCAATCGAATCCCTACAAACCAGTACCTGAATATTTCTAATGCATAGTGTATACAGAATTTCGCCTAGTTTGTTAACCTGTCCTAAGCTCGGAAAGGTGGGAATTTCAGGTGTGGTCCCAGCAACTCCATCGTGTAAAAACTTCCCCGTCGCTACTGTGACTCCAAACCACAGAAAATTATATGCAGACACAGTAGTAGCTTCTGCATTCGATGGTCGAATACTTGAATACTGGTTCCGTCATGCATAATATACGTTTACCTTGGATAACTCAAAAACATCGTAAGATTACCACACATTATTGTTATTATTATTATGCCCTTGTGTTCCGGGTGGAACATGGGTCTGCAATATTTCATCCTGCTCTCTGCAATCATTTTAGCTGGCCCTACTCCTCACACGATCTCTTCCGTGTCATCCTCGGATCCATGCTCAACTCGGGTTCCACTCGAGGGCCTGGCTCGTGATGTCGCTTAACAATCTCCTCAGCGTGTACCCGATCCATCTCCGTTTTCTTCGTTACATTAGTTGGCTAAAAGATTCTTGGCGCAGATTCGTTGCCTGAGTTTCCTGTCGACAATCCTTTCTGACCTTCACTATGGAGCTAAGGTAAAAGTTGGTAAAAGTCGGCACTCTGATGAAAATGTTTTTCATGATGGACGCACCAAGTCTCTGAACCATTTGAAATAACTGTCTGACTTGACACTGGCTTTCGAAATCGGGATCTTGTTCCTTATACTGAGTGTAGCAAATTTCCACACTGATTAAAGGACAGTGAAGGTCTGTCTTGACTTTCCTATCTTGTCTTCGACATCTTTATTGGTGCCACCGGTAGTTGAGACAATGCTGCTCAGATAAATGAAAGAAATAACTTCCTTCAAATTTCTTCTTTCGTCTATAGTGATTGGTGCTTGTTGTTGTTGGTGGTGGTGGTGGCTGATTATCTTCATCAACTCCGTTTTCTGTATGCTCAAGTGAAGTCCTGTATACTGTTTTTTCTGCCAACTTGGTAGTTTTCACCTGTAAGTCTTCGAATTTGTGTGTCACCAGACAGAAATCGTCTCTACATATTCCTGCCTTCTGGCTTCCCAGTGAGAAATACCGTCGGTGATAATAGGCAGCCAGTCTTGTCTTACTCCTGTATTCACTTAAAAGGCTTTATTGAGTTTTCCATTGTGAATCATCTGACATGTGGCTATTGAATGAAGTTGATAAAAGTTTGAGGAACTTCATAGTGTCGAAGCAGTTTCCAAATTTCTTCAAGGTCAACACTACTGAAGACCTTTTCAAAGCTAAAGAAGTTGAGGTAGAGGTTTGACGACTGCCACCATTCTATACTTTCTTCGATGATGACGATGCGTAGAGTAGCGATTTGATCTTCCTGAATCCTTCCTTGTTCCGTGCCGGTAGAGTTCTGCATTCAGCGTATCCTTTAGTCTCTCTTCAAATTGACTTTGCTTAATATTTTATCTGGTGAAGACAGGACTGGGATTCCTCACTAGTGTTTGTTAAGGCCTGAGTCGCCCTTCTTTGGTAGTTTAACTTTCTTCCAATCAGTAGGAGGTACTTTTCCATCATTCCAAACTTTCTGCATTATTGGCGTGAGTATATATCCGTTGAGGTCTCTGGATCCATATGCAGGACTTCGGGAGAAATTCATCACACATCTAATGCATTAAGTAATTATTGGTTTATCTCTGTGGTGTATACAGGCTTTCAATGTAATCATTTCTAAATCATGTTTATTTTGAAGTTTGTTCAGTATGGTGAATTGAGATTATTGTTTGTTCTATGAATATATATATGGAGAGAGAGAGAGAGAACCAGTACAAATCAGTAGGGAGTACTAGACAGCTGTTCCCTCCTTGTTTGGGACTCTTCATCAGTGCACACGCACTGGAGTTCAAACCTGGGACCTTCTGATTACAAAGCGAGCTAGGTCGTACACCATTAAGCCACTGGCAGCTGATCCAATAACCGACGCATGAATTTTAACTCCTGCCAATTCATGACATATTGATATTCTCTTATAAATTTGTACTCACAGGTGGTGCTTGGTTGGTGTTGGCTACCAGTGGAATCGAGAATATGCACTTCATCCTGTTTGGAACTCCTCAGTTGGATGTGTTTGATCTCCAGCGTGATAGTGTTTCTATTGGAATTCGAACCCAGCAGCAAAAGCATTGTCCGGTGGGGTTCTAGAGCCACTCGTATGCGTCAACGAGTATCAGTTATTATTCATTGACACTATTATAACAGACACGAAATCTTATAGCTTGTACTAGAGCTGGGATACTGCCCAAACGCCCAGACCGAAGTAAGTGGTTGTTTCTAGGGGACACTCCCGGATCATTCAACTCTTGAAGAGTAGTCCACCAGATAGTGGAAGTGGCCTCAGAAGTTACGTTTGCATGGTTAGTGGTGACCATAACAGATCCATACGTCATTTGATCTGTTTGGATTCTAGACTTAATATACACCCATAGGTGTGGAATCAGGATTTTCCAGCTACTCTAGGTAGACCAGCCTGTAAGCGCCAGATGTTCGAATTCGCCTCCACCCTAGCGGGAACGCGACGAATAAAACTTACCTGATACAGTCTATGAATGTGAGGCCACATGAGAGCATTTAGTAGAAAGACGAAAGTCTACCCACCCTCAGTCATACCAGGTCGTTTATGGAGGCGCTTTTTCCTAAAAAAAAAAGGAAAGTGTACTTCAATCAGTCAATCAAACGTTGAAATATGTCTTGAAAAGAAGATGACTAAGCAAATGAAAGATATTCAGCACAGGCTATTAACGAGGACGTTTAATCTATCAAATATATAATAGATTAATTCACTAACCATTTGAGCTCTAGCTCATTAGTTAATCTAACCATTCGATTTCCAACCACAGAGGTGACGTGTTCGAACTCTTTGCCGCCACTCAGTTAGTAGTGATTATCAACTAGCCTTCTCTCACAGACAATAGGATGGTGTGTTTCTCTTTGCCAACCTCGCATACAATTGTACGTGGTTGTTGAGTAACATATCATAGTCAAACAAAGTATGTAGTCCCACCTTTCGACACTTATCTCGTTTCTTTAATGCACATCCTCTTGTAAAAGTTCTACCTGAGATAACAGTTTTAGCAAAAGAGAAAAAAAATATGATCAATTTGACAAACATTCTGATTCATTCCGTATGCTTTAAACTTGTTACTACTTCATTCAAGAAGGGAGTTATTTCTGCCACTCCTCTCAATTATATTTCCCCTTCTTTTGCCTATTTCTTCTTTTTGTTGTTAAAACAGTTAGCTGAAGCTGCTTGTAAAGCTTGCAAATTTAAATATGCTGAAGAGTATTTATCACACACAGAGGATTATGCCAGTCTTATGCTATTGGCAACTAGTTCCGGCAATCGAAAATTACTCGAATGGATTGGTAAACAGGCAGCGGCAAAATCAAATGATAATATCGCCTTTTTAGCACGTTTTCTAACATCCGATTTGGAAGGTTGTCTTGAGGTGAGTTGCTCACCTTCTTTCTCTTCTTGTTACATTATATTATTAATATTATTGTTCCTTTGAGTTCCTAGTGGAACAACACGTCTCCACTTGCCACTTCTCTCTTGCTTCTGCTGTACTTTTCACCTGCATCCATGTTAGTTAGTCCATACTGTTTCAACTCCTCTCTCTTCACACGATCTCCTCCACGTAACTCTTGCACTGACGACCGACTCGCCGCTTCCCTTTCGGCCTGGTTCCACTCGAGCAATGGCCTGACGCGCGCGCGATGTCACCCAGCGGCGGCCTCCTCAGCCGCGAGTGTCCAATCCATCTCCACTTTCTCCCGCATATTTGTTGTTGGTTGGCGATTGGTTCTTGTTTTGCTTGTTTTGTTCCCATAGTCTCTTGTTGGTGATTATTTCTGGCCGGGCCATCTGATCTTCATCATAGAGCGAAGACAGTTGTTGATAAAGGGGGATGTGAACGTGAAATCTTACTGCTGGAGAATAGAGATGCAACAACAGTGAAGTGTTTTTTCTCCAGATTTTCAGCAAGTCAGCCAGTCAACCAGCCAATACTATCACCTTACGCTGATTGAGGAGGGTTAGACAAAGTCAATCCCGATTTATCCTGCGGCGGTACGGACACAAATCTAAACAGGTTGTGTTTAACAGATCTCAAACAGTTCTCATCTGGGTTCTGTGGTCACCAACCTTCACCTCTTCCACAGTGTGTGTTCCAAGGGGGGTTAGTAGCCGCCAATACACTCTCATAAGCACAATCTCTCCGATTAATAAACTTGAATATAAAAAGGACGAAATATGCTCTGAGACAATATGAGCTCATCTTTTTTTTCGCCATTATTTCGAGGATTCTTCTGAACACTGACCACATACAACCTGAACACTACAAAAATATAAAATACATTACAGATTTCAACATACTTTGGTTGGAACTAAGAGTAACACTAATCCGGAATGATGCAAGTTGTTAAATAATTAGGAGTGAAAAAGATTTAATTGAATTTCTTTTAGATTTCCCCGTCGATTGATTGGACCGAAGAGCTCTGTTCCAGGTTGACATATCGGCTTCGAGCCTCGGTGGGAACATCATCACTCATTGGGAAATGCAGGTACATCCAGATGACGAGTCCAAAATAGGACGAAATGCTCGTTGTCCTGGATTCCACTGCTAATCACCATCCACAAATTAAATTCTAGTGAAAAAGATTGACTATTTATGAGGAAATTAGACCAGGGTTCAACAAACAAAGTTTAACTAGGAAGAGTATAAGTTGTATAACCACAGAGAATATGTTTTTTTTTACAACAGCCAAAAAATGACGGGGTTTTAGGGTGTAGGGTGAGTCATATTTAGACAAAAAATAGAACTTTCTAAACAGGACAGGAAGATGACGCAGTAAAATTTGCATACTTTGTTCCCATCAACGCAGTGCAAGATTCACCACTGTCTCTTTCTACATACATAGATTGAGTTTTAATTGCTTGATAGCGATTGCCTCAGCTAGGTTTCTTTCGCCTATTGATTATTTTGAACGCTTTAAGATTGTCCCCAATATGACCAGTGTTCAATAGATGACGCGCAATCGCGTTCTGTTTAAAGCCTGTTAGTCCTTTAATCTCAGATTTTCTTTGGTATGTATGTGTGTGTGTGTGAGGTGGGGAGATTTATCCACTTTTTGGACCGTCTTCAACAAGTGGTCGTCTTTTGTCCAATAATTCTTTATTCTGTCTATATAAAGCGTTGGAACACTCCCTTTTGTAGGCACTTACAAAAGTATCTGTGAAATACAATCATATTATCTAATCCTGTTGATAATCGCCTTCTTATTACATCATTTTTATAACTTTGTTTTTTTTCCTAACCATTTTCTTTCCAGCTGTTAACAAGTGCAAAACGTTACCCTGAAGCGGCATTCTTTGCTCGTACCTATTTACCAAGTTGTATGCCAGAAGTAGTTGAACAATGGCGTGATTGGTTGGATAAATCGAATAAAGCCAGTACTAAGATTGCTAATTCTTTAGCTAATCCCAAAGATTATCCTAATTTATTCCCTGGTCTTGAGGTAGGTATAATATCAAGTGGTCTACAGTATTACTAATTAGCCTTTTTCTTATGCTACTGCTACATATTGTTACATAACGTGTGTGTATTGTACTCTGTCTCTGGGTGTCAAGATAATGTTTATGACTTGAAAGTTGTTTTATAGCAGAAAGAGACGTAACTCTGTGGAGTGTAATCATTTCACTTTCAAACAGGTGTCGCCTGGTTCAATTCCCATTGTGTCTCTCCCTTTCAGTGTGAACAAACTGTGTAATACCATATTGTGTCCTCACATAATATGTTTGCCTCATGGCCCGAAAAGTCTCTTACACAGAAAACCGAATTCAAGCACTAAAGAAACGACAAGTCTCACCGACAGTTGTAATTTGTAAGATCATTCAATTGAATTGTGAAGATGGTTGGTTGATACCCACCTGGAACATTGAATAATGGTGATCGCACTTAAAATTGGCAACATGTTTAATTGGCGGGGGGGGGGACATGATAGTCATTTGTTTTTGATCCTTCAGTATTTTTTTAGCAGTGCACATTGTTGATCGATCTCAAAACTAAAACAAAAATGAGGCTTTTTTGATTATCAAGCGATCTTCCAGTCAGTATCTGTCTGTCTGTTTTCGACATAGAACTTTGCACAAATGTGCGGAAGTTCAGTCCAGTCAGTATCGATCTGTAATGAAACCGTTAACAGAAATAATACTAGTGAATACTTTAGAAATACTTCATCCTTTGTTCTTCTTCTTCTTCTAGAATTTTCTTGCCAAGTTTTTGCTCAGCTTCGCTTTATAATAACACTTGTGTCACAGAATAAGTAGTAGTCGAGAATTTTCAGCCTACCATTGATATATAGTGGAAATTTAGCTAACGAAATAGTCTCCGAGTAACCATCTGACAATCAAACCTCCAACAGTATGAAATAGTAAAATGACAAAATGAACTGCAAGTTCGGATATGAAAATATGGCAGTGTAAACAGGGATTAAGAAAAAACTCAGAAATAACATGAATAAACAGGAAGTTTAGATAAGAAAGGCAACAGGTTAGTCATTACTAAAAAAATCACCTGTTTATGATGGCCATGGCAGCGACAGGGGTTGGATGTATTTCTTTTGGATACAAAGCTTGGGTTTGAACTTTTGGATAGCTAGTGCCTCGGCTATACCCAGATGTCTTAATTTCAGTCCCTTTGTACATTTATACCGCTATTCCAACTGATATCTAATCTGTTGAATTAAAATGAGAAGAATAGAGTAAATTCTAAAAAATTCTGTTTCTCTATAACATCATTTCCATTGTTTCATGCAATTCACCCGCGCCCCCCCCCCGTCAAAAAAAAATTGGTCACTTCTTGTGTAATTTCTTTCTGATCTTATAATTTTTTGGTTCACTATCATTTTTTCCTTGTGGGATGGATACACGGTCACTTTTGTTTGACTTGTCTTATATGTACATTTTTATTGATCAGAAACTAAGCGGTAGAAGGGTAGTAGAAGTATCAACCTGTGTCGTTTTCATCTCCTCCGTGATGTCTAGTTATCTCAATCACAAGAAGATGTGTCATGTGCAGCACTCTCTACACACTATCCTCCCTCCTCTTTATGACTGTGAAACATAGATATTAAAAATAGAAGATATGTGAAAAGACTGTGTGTCTTTGAGTACAGATGTTTGCTTTCGATCACCTGTGTTATAATTGGTATAATAATATGATGAATAATACTGAGGTGTGAGGTTAGGCGCGTGTACAATGTTAGATGAGGAAGGACAGTGAACCGATGAGTTTGTGAAAATGAATCAACTGTGCGATGGCTAGGAGACGTGTCTCACACACACACACAGTCATCGTCAGCAATGTGTGTTAACTGAGATAGGAATAAATTGTAAAAGAAAGAGTCAGAGGTAGTCATCAATCAATGACGCCTTTGACGTCTAGCTTCAGCCATGTTTT